AAGTACAGTGGTGTGTTTCATAATTTAAGCATCCGTCAAAAGGCATAAATACGTTAAATTTAAGACAGGGATAACCAATATTAACTAATTCGAACAATGTTTTTTTCTTGCGAGTTTTCTCTTTAAAGTAATTATGTATAAGTATAAATGTACGTTAGGATGTATTACTATCACGCTTATAAAGGTACATTGTAACGAACGTTTCAGAAAACGTTTTATCTCCTTTCGATCGACGATGAAACGCCATCATCAAAAACAAATCACCAAAAACTTTCCTCTACAGCAAAACGGAAAATAGAGAAAAAAGTGGCGTTTTACTAATGCTAAAGCAGGAATAGTTGCAGCGTGATCATGAGCTTTTAAAAATGGCAAATGCTCCTAAATGGACATCTATAGATCCCTTGCATCGCCATTGGAAAAAAAACTCTCTGGCCCACTATGAACTAGCCTATTCCAGGCGTAGTGGACAGTGGATAGTGGATAGAGGACGGTGGCGCGAAATGGGGAACGGAGGAAAACAAACGTGGAAAAGAGTAAGAGGGAGAGAGTAGGAGGACCTTTCGCCCTCAATCCCTAACCCCGCCCCTTCGCCATTTTTTCTAGCCCACCTTTCTTTGCGTTTTCTCAACTATCTGAAGGCCTGTTACAGGTTACCTACGTCCTTCATTTACAAATTTTTATGGTATATAACGTATTTATTCGATTAACAGCCCTGGGCGCTTATTAAATTTTTGGACCTTGAGAGTGGGCGCTTATTCGAGGTGGGTGCTTATTCGAAGGCTGGGCGCTTATTAAATTTCGCCATTCTCAGCAAGTGTAGTATGTTTATTTTGCAACAAAACAATAAATGGTAATAACAAAAAGCGGACATTTAACAAAAAATAAAATGTAAAATGCTCTGAAGAAAACTCCGTCTTCGGGAGGGTCTATTATTATTTCTTATTTAAGTTTGTGTAGGAGGGAGTGGGGTGGTAGTGGGCGCTTATTCCAGGCTGGGCGCTTATTAACTGTTCTGCCTTTAGGAGGGGCACTTATTCGAGGTGGGCGCTAATTTGAGGTTGGGCGCTTATTCGAATAAATAGAGTATTCAACTTGAGCGTCGAGCACTTTTGGCGCTTTGTTATTGATCAGCAGGAACGGATTTGGTAGTACTAACTTTTCAACTGCTTTTAGACTGCGAATTTTTTTTTCTTTCTTTCTTGTTGACTTTCTTTTATTTTTTCTTTGTCAGTTTCTACCGTATTTTTTAGACGTATTTTTCGATCCTCTCCCCAGCCTCACTAACTCTGCCCCCCTCCCCCTCCGCCTCCCTTTTTCCGAAAAAAAAAAAAAAAACAACAACAATAACAATAAAAATAGGGAAACAAAATAGAGTAATACTAAAGCTAAGAAGAATCTTGTAACGAACGAATGGGAACACCTAAAAGGAAACTTTCCTCATCCTCCGTAGCCTTAGTCCATGAAACGTAGACGCCCAAGCGGGCCTCAAAAACCTTACCTTTGTCTTTGTCACAAACCGAATAAGACTGAAAGCCTTAGTCTGCTTTACGAAAGTACCTTGTAGATCTCCAGAAGAAGAATTGTTTGCAGCCGGCCCTCAATTTACCCCAAGAGACTTCGCCTGCTGCTGGTCAATATATAGGAATCGAAGGCTATTACAAAGAACTGCTCCAGAAAAACTATTTTTCTTAACATTTTTCTGGGGTAGAGGAATAGCGAGTTTTCTGTGTCTCTTAATACGTAATTAGAGATATTGCAACGTTCTGCCCTTGCTACGATCTACTATGCACTTAACAAGGCCCCTCAAGGTACTTAAGCTTACTTAAGATATATTGCGCATATTCTGGGATACACTCGCCTCTCACCGCTCTTTGACGAAATGTTCCTAGCGGCAGATAGCGATGAGAGGAAGCTGTATCTCAGGCTTTTGGACACAAGGATTTTCTACTATTTACATGGGTAAACCGGTCGCTCCACGGTTTGGGCAAATGGTGAGGAGAATTCAGGACTGATTAATTTTGATTCCGTTCGGTAATCGCGTTTACCGTTTGCCTAAGTCAGTTTCGTTTAATGAAAAACGGCCGCGAAAGCCTGAAACTGATATTCAAAAAAGGTTTGAAGACATGAAATCCGAACTTCCGCCAGAAAGTTTCCAACCAGGAAGACCAGGAAAATAGGCGAACGCCTTTTCAGACGTTCCGTTTGTTTCAGGAATTTTCCACTGAAACGTCGAAAGCAACCCGACACTGAGTTAATGGTAGCCTGGCAAAGCACCAAAGTGTCCTCTTAGTTTGTTTTAATGGGTCATGTATATAGTCATGCAGTAGCTTCATGATTCATACACGTTGTCATACAAGTATATAGGCTCCTCTTTGGCATCCACCTAGCTTTTTTTTCAGTTTTGAGAGCCCGCACCAATACTTAGTCTAAAATATTTTTATTCTTTAAAATTGCTTCAAGGAAATTAGTTTTTATAAACCAAATGGCATTGATTGGCCATGATTTAATTCGTAAATATCTCTCAATGCAAAAATTCATTCAGTAATCAGTTTTAGTTTTTAGATTTTGTTCTGTTTATATATCATTTTTGGGGGGAAATCGCCAGTCTGAAACTGAACACGAAAGTGTGTGACGCTATCCCAGGGACCCTAGATGTTGTATCTGAAGAAAATGCTGCAATCAATGAGAATCATAGGTTTACTGAACGATTTAATTTCGAATTGGCTTTTAATCTGCCTTTAACTAAATTGTTTAAAGCATATCTATAGGCAACACTGGCGTGACGGGCCGTGTCACGCTATTTTTAACCACTGCAATGTCGCGTTTTTTTTTGCAAAATTAGGGTTGAACTCAACGTCTTGCGGGCTACTTAAAATCGTCTGCCCAGAGATTTGTTTCGATTTTCTGATAGATTGGGGCCTAGATAAGCAGTAGAAAGTCAATTTTCGGAATTTCAAGTTATAGCGCATTGTAAAAATTTGCATTTTTTTATCCCTATAATTTTGAACGGTAGAAATGGTCAATAGGGCCTATTTTTAACAAACCTTTTTGGCCACAAAATGATTACAGCTTTCACAAATTTATCGACTTATAAGAAAGAAAGGGTCATAAAAACTATTCGTGTTTTTCAAAGGCTGCCAAATCGTTGTGGTTTTACGTACGAGTCAATGGAATTTGTGTAAAATTTCGCTTTACCGGAAGTGGATTTTGAGCTCTGAACGGGCAAAATGCGTTTTCTCGAATTTTAACAAAAGAACACGTTATTTGGGAAAACTAACTACAGCATGTTTCATTACTCATTAAGGGTTATCGATGAGCCAAATATGAGCGAAATCAAATCTTGAACTTGTGCCGACCGTGGGTCGATATTTACGGAAAGCCGCTCTTAATAATCTTGTTTACTTGGGGATAAGACTTAAAAAAGCCTCTGAGTTTTATCTTAGAAGTGGAAGGATAATCTCGTATAAGGATAATCTCGTCCGCCGAGTGAGTCCGAGTAAGGATTGTCAGAATCGTTTGATTGGCATTTTGATCGTGATCATTTTGTGATTCCTTTTATGGAGTGATAAATATATATCATGTGACTCATTTTATATGTGCTTGTTCGGCATGTTTTCGAGTTAGTTTTTGGCTGATTGTATGCGATAATTCGATAAAATTATGACGATTTGTACCGGTTTCGAGAATTAAAGCGTTGAAATTACAACAAGCGAGTTTCCGTTTCTTACATGGCGCCCAACGTGGGGCAGTGAAGTCCACTAAACGATAAAGGCGAACCCGAAGCGACAAAAAAGCAAGGGTTGAATAAGGCAGACGATTTGGAACTATTGAAAGCGATCAGAGGAGGGCAACGAGGAGTCGCAACAAAGCTGATAGCACAAGCCGAGGAAATATTGGAAAGCACATTCCTTTTAACCGAAGATTACGAGCGTTTCTTTGTGATTTATCACAACTGGACACAAAATGGCAAACACTAAACGATTACGAGCGGCAAATAATGTGACAGATATCGATGCCAAGATCGAGGATTCTCAACGAGCTATAGAAAAGGTTATGGCATGCAAGCGAAAAATCGATTTGAAGTTAAAAC